TTAAACAGCAAGACGGCGGGCGGTGGGAGGTGGGTGGTTGGAAAAGTGGGAGGCTGGTGCTTAGACTTGCGAGGTGGCCACGCCTCGCCGCCTGTACACAATAAATAAATAAATAATAAAAGAAAAGTGAAACGAACTATTAGCTCTCGTTTTTCATAAATCGCCGGCTCAGTTACATTCTGCTGAGCAGGCGAAATCCGGGGAGTGCGGGGGAAAAGCAGCCAATAAGCACTTTTCGTCGGTGCATGATGAGCGGACTAATAAATATTCACTTTTCCAGCCAGCCAGGTGAGCACGCAGGTGGGCTCGGTAATTGTGGCCAATTGCGAGGCAGTGGCAATCAGACCTCGACCGTTCTTTGGCAGTGGCACCGTTTTAGCGGCGATCGCGGCTCTAACTCCTATCTGGATTTATCTGTAGATCCACTGTGGAGATCCACTGTGAGTGTAATGACTGTAATCTGGATGTCCGCGCCATTCGCAACTTGACACCACAGTCCACCGCAGGCGATGCCTCAAAAGCGCAAGTAATGCGAGGCGGTTCGCCAAGAAAGCAACCGCAGCAACATGGATGGCTCCAACATGGCCCAAACCCGCAACAATGGTTGGCCAAGGCCAACAGCCCAGATGGACATCAAAAGAAAGCTGTGACGCAGTCCGAAAGCGGTAATCCAATCCTACCCGGCCCGAGCCCACTCATCTGGTCAGTGGCCACCTAGCTGCTCCAGTTTGCGGGTGCCTCCGAAGTTTAATGATCCTTGACTGCAACCGGATCCGCTGGGTGGAGTCCGCCCCGCAGGCCAGCGGCTTCTTCGCCCAAATTGGCTCTGATTTCAATGTTTCCAATGTACTTAGCTGAAACTAAGAGTGGCCAGCGCCTTTTTAATCATATTTACCTGCCGAAGGCTTTTGGTTTTCATCTAGTCACACTTTGAATCGCGTTTTACCAGTACCAAATCCCAAGCCCAAGGCTCTACTTTCAGTTCCAAATCAAATCAAGAAAGTTTTTAGCCATAAAAAATCGAATTGTTTGGACGCTTGTCTGCTCCCAAAAACTTTTTCTGCTGCCAAAAGAAGTAGCTATGTGCAGTTGTTTCTCGAAGTTTGTAATCAAAAATATACTTGGAAAAGACACTACTCTTTCCAGATAGCTCCCTTATTTCGTTGTTTATTTATTACAAAAAATGTTTGGCCTTTTGAACATTATTTTCACAATAAACTTCGAAGGAACTTAAGTGCTTTTGCCCTATTGCTTTCACCGAAAAACAATAATTACACGGAAAATTTCTGCGTGTTCCTTTGTTTTTTTGGTCATTTTACTTTTTAAAAATATTCAACCGGGCGTGCTAAATGAAAGTATATTTAAAATGATCTTGATTATTCAAGCTTATATTACTTATTATTATATTACTTAATAATTCCTTTTATTTTCTAACAAACCCAACTAATACACCTAATAACCGATCCAAGTTTGCTCAAATAATAAGGATTTCTAGTTTTCGAGTAGTTTGCTAACGTTAAGCTGTACTCAAGTATTCTTGATGATGTTTCTAATGATATTTAATAAATTATAGTAGTACTCTATTGAAATATAGTGCTACATATGTATAGTGTGATGTCTGTTTCAAAGGGGAGTGAATATTACCAATTGCGTATTTTCAAATATTTTACTTCTCTGTGCAAAAGTGCACTCTTTCAATTAACCTCGTGTCAAAGCTTACTAAAGAAATTTTATTGTCCGTGATACGAAGCATTGAGAGTTTTAAAATTAGAGCGAAAGCTTCAAGGACCCTTGAGAGCAACTTCAGATCTCGTTGAAACGAAAAATATATGTCAAGCAAAGTTGCTATTGTGCGCCTTTTTGCTTTCCAAGTGCTCTCCGCAGAGCTGCAGACTTCAAAGGACCTTTCCCCGCCGAAGGACGTGTCTCGTTGATACTGCATAATCATCCCGAAAATCCTGCGAAGTGGTCTGCGAGCTGGTCTGCGAGCTGTAGGCTCTCATCGCTCCATGACCACCGGATTGGCCAGGGCTGACAGCCAAATTGACTCTTTGGCAGTCAATCAAAGCGAAATTGTCACGAGTCATGCGAGAAATGCAAGTGGCCTGGAAACCAGCGCAATTAGAGCCATTCCGAAGGAGTTTGTATATCGTATTTGCTGGCCAATAACGATAATAATAATAATATTGTTTATTTTGGCCAATTACGTGGCCATACATCCCGGCTTCGAGGCTGTGGTTGTTCGGCTGGCCACGTTGATGTTGATTTTCTGCGGCTTTTCTGCTTTTCTGTGCTGCTGCTGTATTTTCACCGGCACGAATTTCGCTTGCATTTTAATCGCACGGCACCTTGTTTGTTTTCTTCGGCTGTTTTTCTTCCATTTCTAATCGATTGCCTGACTGGGCTCGTATCGCTACGTTTAATTTATTTTAATCTAATTGTTTTATAATTAAAACATACTTCTGTTTGATTTCACCTGTGCGTGTCGCAAGCAACAAACTTGCGGCTTGGCTTTTCCCGACTCCAGTTGTTGTTTCAGTTGCCGTGGCTACTGGGCGCCTTAATTAGTTGCCACTGATTCGCAGCCCCGCCCACTTTTGCAGCCCAAATGCCGCAGGATGTCGACTCGCAATTCGTGGTGACTGCGATGCACTAGAAAATGCCTCTCTGGGTGTGAGTTTCTATATCTGCCGCATACTTTGGGGCTGGCAAAAGATTACAAGGCTTGTGGCAGCGTTTTAGGAGAGAGGTACAACAGTGGGGCCTCGAATTGTTATACTCGCTTTTAAATAAGAGGAACTGTAATAAATGAATAAGAGAAGGGAAGAGCGCCACTACAAACTTTTATTTTGTATAAGTTTAAGTATATATTATTCTTGCCTTTTCGACGAAATAAGCAATAAAATCAATAAATTTCTGATTTCAATAAATACATCAATCAATAAATACTGAATCGCGCTTAACCATTTTAATCCTATAATTAGACAGCGAAATAAGAATTTATATTGTATAAACCATAAGTATTGTAGTGTGTTGCAGAATGTATATGTATTTAATTTCAGGTTAAACCGTCGGTTATTATGGGTACGTTTACAGTACTAACCGGCCACAAAGTCCAAGTTTGTAAAGATCATCAGTGATTAATTTCTTTTGCATTTTGCTAGTCAATTTGGTTGCGAAGTATTTCATTTCCGTTTTATTAGTCAAATTGGTTGTACAGAATCCCTTATGCCCAGAGCAGCAAATGGAGCCCAACTATTGGACACATGGACTCACACCTGCTTACTCCCCCGAAAGTTTGGAGCCACAACTGCCATGTCATTCAATCAACTCGATTTCATATACCGCAATGCACACTGCACATTGAATTGTTGTCTCAATTGAATGTGCCGCAAATGAGATTCCTTTAATGACGCGGGCGATCATGATGATGCCGCACAACAATCAATTATATCAAGTTGCCACAAAGACTCGTATTCAGATACAGATACAGCATCACATTGAAGTTGAGGCAAACAACGGATACAAAGACCTCGAATGAATTTGAACCGAAGCGAAAATCGGAGACGGTGGTGGAGCTGATGATCTGCTGCCAGGGGGAGATACTTTCCTTTTATTGCCGACACCGACACAAGACAAACGTAACGAGTTCAGATCAATTTTTGGTTGACTGGCTGCCAGTTCGGCTCAATAACGTACGACTTGTTTTGTTGCCGCTGCTGCGGTGATGTTTTTAATTTTTAGCATCGCTTCGGTTTCAAAATTTCCAGAAAAAGTGTAAGTGTGGTCTGAAGTGTGCGTGTCTCTGCGTCTGTGTTGGCCAGCAATATGATAAATATAAAAATTAATACATTGAGAGTGAAAGTTATTGCTTTTGGAGCGCAGTCGATCATCGTGATGATGGCCACGATGATGGCCGTAATAATCATCACCGGCAGCTGGGAGAGAAATGGCGATAATGAAGATCGAAGCGGGACTTTGATACTGCCAAGGTGATTTCTTTCGCCTGCCCCTTGGACCCAGTCACGTTAACTTGATTAATAAGTTTGGGGTGTTACAAAATACTTCCAAGCTGGCCAGCTGCTTACGAAATCCCCAGAAGACGTTTTCCCGAGACTTTGCCTTATTGAATTACGGCACAATATGGCAGCGTTTTTTACCGGACACGGCTAACTACGATTACACCTAACAGCACCTTATATAATACAGCAAGAAAGGGGTTAAAGAATTAACAAAGCCGCTGGATAATGATAGCCCAATGAGCGCTTAGAAAGCCAGGCTCTATTCAGATGGACTTCAATCTTCTTTCGCAAAAGTTGTAGTGAATGCGTCGAACTGAAGACCAACAAAAACATGTTGAATACGAAAAGAAACCTTTAGAAATGAAGCGTTTGCATAAGACTGACTTAAATACAGATTTGTTGGCGTAAGAACAATGATATACCACTGTGCTGGTCGAATAGTTTCGATTTAAGCTTAAAACAGCACCTAAATGGATATGTAGAATGGATAAACGAACTTCAACAATGCTTCTAATCTGATTACTTTCGATTACCAAGACCCCAAGCTCCGCACCCTTACCCAATTCATGGTCTGGCGACCCATTTTTATGGACATTGCATGCGCTGGCCAAGGCAAATTGGCACTAAACGTCTACATCGCTCATCTTTCGGGCGGGGTAACTTTCGCTTTTTCGGCTGACACGCTCGCTAGTTGGTTAATGGAGTTGCTTGGGCCGCCGAGAATCGTGTGAAGTGGAGTAGGAACCAGGTGTGGGCTGGCAACAAACCCGCAGCACTTTAACCACTTCTAATCTGTATAATTTGGCCGGAGCCGTCGAGTTGAGTGAACCAGAGGGCAGGTTGTTGGTGGAACGGGCGGCAGCCAAGCGCATCCCACGGCTGTCCGACCAACTGACCGTTGAAAATTGGAAAAATCGCAACGGCCAGTGAAGAAGAAAATTGCACGGCAGAGGCAAAAAGCAGAGAAACGCGAACTGAAGGCACATTTCTTTCTTTCCAGAAGCAGCATTGTTTTAATTTACAATTGTGACAATTCGGCCGGGGCTGCTTGACTGACTCTGCCTCCTCTGTTTTCCCCCCGGGAAAGTGCGCCGTGGAAATGGGAGCTATAAAAAATGACCAGGCAATTGTCAAGGCTTTTAGTTGAACTTCAAGCGTTTTGGCAACATGTTCCGCACTTTTCCGCTGCTCTGTCTGCTGTTCCTTACGGCTGTCCGTTCGGAAAACTGTGATCAGGATGCCAGTGCCACGTTATATTGCCGCGGTGAACGCGCTCTGCGAAATGTCCTGCGGAATTTCAATCGCAGCGATAAGCCCCTTGTAGTGGTTAGGGGATTGGAGATAGTTCCACTGCCAAACAATTCAATTGCTGATGAGCAGCAGGACCAGGACCTGGGTATTCTGGACAGTCTGTCCTTCTATCTGCGCACCCACGAGATCAATGTAAAGCTGGCGGATCTCCTGGAGGACGAGGCCCCAGTTTCGGGTGAGTGTGCTTATCAAAAGATATTAAAAAGTTATGTACAAAATTAGGGGCAAATTTGTTGCTCATAACACTACATTAGTCAGAAACATTTTTAGAAATTTATCTAAACAATTATAAAGAGGTTGACAACCCATTTTCCGGTTGGCTAGCTAAATTCCTTTAGGGTATGTTTCAAATAAATTTCACTTTGTAGAAAAATCCCCTTAATTGCCATCGTGTTCGAATTGTATTGCAACAAGTGTATTTTTGATACCTCTCTAATCAGTATGGCATAGTTCAGCTTTTCTCCATTGTTCCTTCGCATTTCCCATCGATCCTAAATATTTACATCCCATACTATTTACCAAAAAAGCCAAGGGAAGCTGCTGAAAGAGCACAGTTCACACAGAGTCCTTAATATATATTTGATTGTTTCAGAGGCCCGCAAAAAGGACAAAGGCCAGGGAATGCTGTTGGCCATGGCGCTGATGTTTGGCAAGATGATGGCCGTGATGGGGCTGGGCGGCATCGCGGCTTTGGCCATGAAGGCTCTGGGCGTGTCCTTGGTGGCTCTGATGGTGGCCGGAATGCTGGGTCTGAAGACGGCCGCCCAGCACGGCGGAGAGTCCAGTCACAGCATATCGTACGTGACCGGCGAGGGACACCATCACAAGCGGAGGCGCCGCTCATCCGGCCAACAACCCTTGGCCTACAGGGGCTGGTACTGAGGAACTGAGGAACTGAGGGACCCATGCTGTTGTCGTGCATTTTGTTAGTTCTCATGTAGCGCTTCAATAATTTAATAATTTATTCGTCATGCAACAGATCCAAGTTGTTTCTATCCCAACTGCAATCGAATCGAGTGCAGCGGCACTCGAGACGTTGCTGCCGCGTCGGACAGTCGATTTGCTGCTGTTGCTGTTGCTGCCATGAATACTGCTCTTTGGTTTATGAAATCGGTGAAAGTTTATTTGAGACGAGCTCGCATTGTGTATCCATCAGCATCCGCAGCGGCAGAAGGCAACCTACACATGGCCATAACGGTTGTATTTGTGGCTATACCCTGACGCCAAGTGGCTTTGACCGCGATGCTATCCTGAAAAATGGTATTGAAGGGTTTATTTCGGGAAAATTATTTACACAAAATCTATAATGGCTTGCATTCAAGTTACGACTAATACATTTTAAATTTTGTGTAAAAATGTAATAATCAACTTTATACATTTAACTAAAACCAATCCTTGGGAAACAATGAATTTATCTATCATTTATGTCTACAAATGGATGAATGATTCAAAGTCAAAATGTTCATTATTGGATAATTGTATCGGTATTGGATAAATTGTGTAATTTATGTTTTATTTTTGATCACACTTAGAGAGTATCCCTAATTCGAACTCCCCTTTGCACACTATCGGATTTCCTCTTTCTTGTGTCGTCATTTGTCAGCCCGCTTTCGTGCAGTGTTATCGATGAAGCTGCCAGATACCGGATATCGGAGTTTCGGATACTCTCATCGGTTCTCTGCTGATCTGCGCTTCAGATAGCCGCCGAACTCTTGTTTTCCATGGAATCTGGTACACGACAACTAGCTCGCTGGAGTCGGCCAGCGCAGAGATTGAATTTGCATAATGCGTGGCCAACTTTCACTGGATTTTGGCAGCGCCAACGGTTCTTTCCGACCACCAAAAGAGCCGTGGGCCAGAGTAGCAACAAATTACAGTATGACAGACCCATAGCAGACCCCGAAAAAGGGGGAAAAACAAGCTGTGCGTTCTGTTACACAATTCCATTAAAGCCGCAGCACTTGAACGACCAAAACCCGTTAGGCGGCCGGCAGGGATTCGGGGGATACGGCCACCACCACCGGCCAACTGGTGGGGATGGCCAAGAGCAACTTGCTCTACCTTTACCCCCTTTCCACGGTCTTTTGTGTCCGAACCTTGTACCGCCGCCTAATTGCTCCGTCTACTGGTGCTACTTCTTTGTTGGATCGCGCTTCTGCTAACTTTCCCTTTTCAACGGCATTTTACGAGCGCGTCTGCAGGCGTAATTTAATTATAAAATAAGTTCATAAAGGCAAATTTGTTGTTTTACAATCCATACACATGATCTGTGGCTTTATATAAGAGCGCCGCTGCTCTGGAATTGATTTTCTAAACGGCGCGCTTTGATTTTTACCCGTTTACCGGTTGACCATAAAGGCAGCGGGCTTTATGGGTTTATGAGCACGACGATGATGATGATGACTGCGATCAGATGAGATGGCTGCCGGCTGCCGGCTGTCGGCTGCCAAGACGTGTATGAATGCTGGAGCTCCAGACAACCAGTCCACAAGTCTGCAGTTCCAGTGCATAAATGAAAGTTCATAAAGAAATTAGCTGATTAATCGTCGTTCGATGAGCTTGGAACTCGGAGCTTGGAAAATGACCAGGCCGAGCCCAACGCCGCTGGATGGGATGGCTTGGGTTGGGTTGGGTTGGGATGACTGACTGAAAGTGTCACGCAGCCCACATTTCAGTGGCTGCCTCGAAAATTTCACTTTTCAATGATGCTGCTTCGCCTGTTGCCGTTGCCCGTTCAGATGTAAATTAATATTTAACCCAAATACCGCGAATTCTTTATTTGAAATGCTGGCCGTATCGGTTACTGCCGTCGCTCCGCGGAGTCTGTATACATAATCCCCTTTCCGGCATTATTATGCAAATTTCGCATTAATTCAAATGGCCGTAAAAGGGAAAATGTGTTCTATTAACTTGACATTTTTATGGCTTTGTGAAATCTCCCGTCTGCTGGGCTCTTTTATTTCAGGGCGTGTGCTTCTTGGACTTGTGGCCAACTTTACTTTTACTTATTAAAATATGCATGCAATTAATGTTCACTATCTGCGGTTTAGTTAATAGAAGCTTCCCTTGGAGCTTTCCGGCCTGTGAAACATAAATTACATCATCGATTTTCACTTTCCTTGATTCCTTGGCATTATTTATGCAAATATTTGCTGTAGCTCCATATACATAGCTACGTATTGTATGTATATATTTATCTGTTGCCGTGGCTGCTGTGCTGTGTGCAAATGGCTCACTTCTGACCACAACTTTCACCGAAACATTTTTGTTATTTATTCATTAAATTTTGGCCTGGTATGCTTCTGTTGTTGGTCATTCTGGTTTTTTAGCCGTTCAATAAAACCTGTACCTCACATACCTATGTACACGGCGCACACGAAATTCTTTTTGGATGACCACGGCAGAAAGATGGAAAAAAGGCAAAATTAAATGTAAAGTCAACAAGCGTTTTCAGCTCGCCAGGGCTAACACACCCACATACCCAATAAGTGGCAATTGATTGGCAAAATACGATTCGGGCGAAAAAAAATGTCAGCACACAATGTGAAATTGTGCTACCAATTCGTCGAAACATTTCTGTTTTCTGCCGATCCGGTACGGTCCATCAGCTTATCCGTTAAGATATCGTTAAGATTTATAGAACCGTCGGAATTCTTAATGCACGCCCTCGACGCTTTCGTCGCTTATGCTAATTGGCCAGAAATAATAGAAAAAAACTTTCACGGCTAAGCCATTGGCTTTAATTTAATTCAAGCGGATAGAAAAAGGGCCTTCGCTGATAAATAATACAGTAAAATGGCCTCCGTGTGGGACACAACAGTCATCATCGTCGTCTTGGCTCGATCCACTAATGAGTCTTGGGCCCAAATTGATGTCAAGCAAAATGAAAGTGAGAATACGTTGATATCTCCTCGGGCCCAAAATAATCACCAATTCAGACGAACGTTGGACCTTCGATCTGCTGATTGAAGCCCACTCATCCATTGGCCTAATAAGTAGTGTAATTATTGAGATTTTCTTCGCGGTGGTGTTTGACTTGACCATCTTTTCGGAGGCTTGTGACCAACTTTCTTAAGACATTAACTTTTTGTAGGCAAACGCATAATTTGAACAAGTGAAAACGCAAGTATGTTGCGGCGGAAACAGTTTTGGCATCAAGATGGTTAGTCTAAGTTAAAAGGACGAGACGTTGTTACTACAGTAGTACTATTTTTTAATTACCAATTTTAAATAACTTTTAAAACTTAAATCCAAGTGCTAAAAAGGTAAAAACAAAAATAAATTTATAGATATGCAGCACAACTATACTTACTTTATATATATGTACTTCAATAATAAAATAACCCGATTTCATAAATTAGTTATAAAGCTTGTACTTTTAATTTTTAATTTTCTAAATTTTAATTTTTTTTTATTTCCTATAAGGATTTTGCAATGCTTAAGTTGTTTATCTTTGTGTCCTGCACAACAGATGTGCAAACCGAAAGATAACTTGCAGAAAACAGCCTTTGTGCGACTTAAAAGGGTAAATACCCTGGCGTTTTAAGGGGACGAATTGCCTGCAATGCGTTATTAACTAAGCCAAAGTTTACATTTGGGAAAATCGGAAACTTTGTACTTTTATGGCCAAAAGAGTGGACTTCCATTGGGTCAGTTTATTACATCAGAAACCGAAATGCACAAGTTGTGCGTTGTCTTTCTTTTCAGAGCGGTTCAAGACACTTGCGATTTGTTTACCCAGCTCTGCACCAGCCATAAACAATAACAGCAACACCCCAAACACGGCAACAACATCAAGCAGCAGCAGCAACATGAACAACTACTTGCCAGTTCCAACTACGAGCGAAATTCATTCATAAAAGCACACACACTGGACACTTGGACGGCTGCTCTCGCATGAATGGCCAAGCCTGTTGGCCATGCTCTTGGCCATTGGCTGATGGTCATTTGGTAGTTGGTATATGGTAGTTTGGGAGCTGGAAGTTGCAAGTTGGCACATGCTAGTTGCCAGACAAATGGAGGCGTTCACACTTGGCGCGTGAACCGACATAAGTTCGACCGTTAAGACGGATGTGCAGCGGCATTCGGAATGGCAACCTATTTGCATTCGAATGCGTGCCAATTTATGGCTGTCGAAGAAACCCAAAGCGGAATTCTACCTAAAAGATCGCATCAATTGTTTTTATTTTCTCTTTTGGGAGGCTGCACCCATTTTGCCGCTGATGTTGCGTTACGAAACGCATCGCACTTTTACCACTGCACGCCTATTTCGATTGACGTCACACGCCCAACTGAAAGCCGATTTAATTGTGGTACCCAATTACACATACGCCCCATGGCCCATCGACAGTTTGGCGCCCATTATGCGGATGATTCAGGGGTTTCGTAAGGTGCACCGCACCAGATCCGCATGATGGTGTCGGATGTCGTCAGTCACAGACATTCACCTTGAAACGGGAGCTCGGATCTTTCCAAGAAAGCTGCCATCCATCCAAGTGCACTGAGAAAAAATCATGGTTGCCATCTATTCCATCTATTTCTGTATGGAATTTGTGTTTTTATTATGGTTATAAAAGGTTAGAATAACTAAAATAAGGGGGTGAACTAGATAAGTAAACAGTTACTACAGTTACACACGTAACAGATAGAAGAAAGCATTTCCGACCCATAAAGTAAAGTACAATCTTGACCGGGTTCTTCGATTGGCCAGGTCTGTCTGTCAATTTTCGGAAAATGTTCGCTAAAAAGCTGAAATCAAGACTGCAGATTCTATCGACAGTTTGTGTCAGATTGCTATATCCACACTAAAGACAACAAAGCACGAACTTTTGAAAAATGTTTTTATTATTTCTTAATATCTGCCTTTTTCTATCGAGATGCCGAAAATTTTGGCCACGCCCACTCGGCTAATGATCCTGATGAAATACAGTTAACATTAAGGGGTGATAAAATTGATTTGCTATAGAAGTTTATTAAAAC